GCCATAGGCCCCTCTGCTGATGCTCTTGGTTGCCTCTGGTCACAGATGAGAATTATCCAGCCTTTACTTTCCCACTGGGATCTAGTCGTCATTCATACTCAGCTATCTGCTGGTGGAAGGTTCATTTTGTGTAACAAAGGTCCTTCAAGGCCATCTCCAGGCCATTGTTCACAAGGTCTCCACATGGCTTTATCAAGTAAGGTGCAAGCTCTTTCTAATTCTAGCTACACCTTTCTTGCCTGTAGCAAAGCTGTTCCGTGCACTTCTCATTCTCAGTTGTCTCACCTTCCCCATCTGCATGTTGTCAGGAACAGTAGCTGTCTCCTGCTATAAATGTACAAAAGGGTCAGCCTTCTTACCAGCTGATAGTGTTTCATCCTTCCATTGCAAGAGCCAAATTCTATCACCTCTGGCAATTAATTGACATCGTTTTGGGACTGAAATAGTGAAATATCCTTTAGCTTCACTCATGTGAATCACAAGCTTTGTAGCTGTAGGACGAGCTGGATTCCAAAAACTTTAAAGTAATACCCAGCCAGTTAAGGAGATTTTGCAGCCATGGAGAACAAGTAGAAATTAATTCTAGTCCCTGTGAATCAGCTCTTCTGGCCTTTTGATAGATACAGTTCTGCATAAACATACTTAACCATGGCCTAGTTAGAAACTTCATGTCAGAGAGCTGGGAGGCAGGCCAAGAAGTTGCCAAACACACTTCCATTTCTAGGAGGAGCCTTGTTACTATCCCTGACAATCCTAGTATGTGTGTGTGACCCATTTTTAGCTTCTCCATGGGCAGAGGCTCCACAAACTTGTAGCTTATTCCAGTGATTTGCTGTCCTGACCATTAAGTCATTAGACTTTCCCTAAGGTTCAACCTAACTTTCCCTTCTGCATTTAAACTGCCTTTTTATCCTATCCACACGTTATTACTTTCCTAGATGCTGCACCATTCTGTGTATTTGAAAGCTGTTATCATGTCCTTTCTGTTCTCCTATCCCTAGGTTTAACAACACAATTCCTCAATCTTTCCTCGCAGGCCATGTTTTCTAAGCCTCTGATTTTTGGAGGCCTTCCAGCAAGTCCACAACTTTCTCAAAGTGAGGTTTTGTAACCCTGTATCATCCAGAGAGTTTGAACTGCTGTTGAGCATAATATGAAAGAATCAAGAAATATAATATTATGGGGCACACTTCCATTACAATGATAAAATAGAGCATGGCAAATCTATTTCTTATCCTGTGGAAATCACACCTCAGCCTTATCTCCAGTTAAAATATTCATTAATACAGCCTGAATAATAAGCATGTATAGAACAATTACTATGAAACTAGATTTCATTACACTTATGAGATACAGGTTTGTGCACATGAGAGGTTCTTACAAGATCAGGAGAGCAGTGAATGAAGCTCTTTATATGCACCTGTCTAACAGAAAAGGATTATACACAAATCAATCTACAGTTGGTGTCAGCCTACGTATATTGCACTGTACCACAGTGACCAGTCTAGCTTCTGGAAGAGTGAAGATAAGGAATACGAATGCAGGCAGAGACTTGCACCGCATTGTGGCAAAATCTGGATGTTTCCTAAAGGAAACCAGTAACTATCTTGCAGGCACAAGCCAGCCCATGTGTAGGGCAAGTCTTGCTGTAAACACACAAAACACTCTCAGGGCATAAATATCTTAACAAGTCGCTCAAGAATAGAAACCTTGCTAATTTGACTCCCTCCCCCTACGTGTAAGGAGAGGGGATTTGAAGGACTCCTGTCCTCTGGGTCTGGCTGCTGCTGGTATTCTGCTGATTGGTCCAGCTCATGCTTGTTCCTCCTTCATGGGATCATCAAAAGAGAAATTTCATGAGAAGGTGCAATTGTGAACAGGCTTCAGCCCTTGGCCAGAAACTGCTCTTCTTCATAGTGGCTCTGGGGGCAGAAACAGGATGGGCAATGTCGAGGCAGTCCTGTTCTGCACCTGACACCCAGGTCTTTGTTTAGCACAGAACTCTGCTGTTTGATGTACAGTGAAAACAGGCAGCTCAAATCTTTGTCCTTCAGAGCTTGCTTCTTGGCAGTGAGGCTGTTCAGGGGAAGAAAACCTGGTATTTGAATGCAGGGGTAGAGGGAACGGGGACCAGATCTACCAGACCTTCCAAAGGGAAGCTTTGATGGTATCCTCACATGCCTAGCTGTATGGAATCAGCACGTGGTAAAACTGTTCTGTTGGCAGTATCTTATCTAGATATTGATATCTAAGATACCAATCTTGATTCCCCTGCCATGCAAAATACGTAGCTGCTATCACACCATAGAGTGGCAATGGACACATTGGTTAATTCCTGTTTGTAAAGCAGTTAAAGGGTGTGCTAAGGACCACCATTGTAAAGTCAAGGGGGGAACAAATGATTTTACCTTCTGAAAAAGGGCTGCACAGAGCAATAAAGAACTGGCCAAAAGGGTAAAAAGAAAAAGCAATGTTTACTGGATGGAAGGGACAGCTTGTGACATAAATGGGAATGCTCTAGCAAAATTCATTTTGTGCTCTTAAAGTGCTCTGGTGATCCTTGGCTGTTAAACCACAGGAGTGGAAAAGAAGAATTAATTTTACCTCTGGTTTGATGGGGGTCAAGGCAGCTACTGAAGAAGGGCATGCTGTTTTGGTGTCCCTCTTCCTGAAAGGTATTAATATTTGAAGACGATGAAAGGGCAGGGGAAAAAATTTATTTATTTTTAAAGCTTTACAGTGTGAGACTTAAGGAGATCAGTTTATTTAATTTTTTACAAGAATAGTTTGAGTGGACTTGATTACAGTGCAGAAGTATCACTGAGCAAGGGAGGTAGGGAATAGGTAGGCTGGGTGCTTATCTGAGAAAAGTACAATAAGAACCAGCACCTGCAGTTTGAAAGCACACGAATCAAATTGTAAATTAGGCACCCTTTTTGAAGGGGATTAGCCACTGGAACACATGTCCAAGGGTAGTGGTACATTCTCCATCCCATGATGTCTTTAAATCAAGAACACATGATTTTCTGGGACTGATGCTTCTGTCAAGTATAAAAGTTTTGGGCTGTCCAAGGATAATGATGAAATTACAATCATTTATATACAGAATGATCAAATAATTTTTCTTGGCCTTAAATGCTAATGAAATTATGAAGTGTGGATACTAAATTAAAGACACTATGCTCCAATATACACCCAATAAAGATTAAATAGGACCCCATGTGTCAATTTTATATCTGATGTTTCCTAAATAGATGTTTAATTTCTACAGTATTAATAATGTTCTTTACAATTTGTGGACAGTCAACCATCTCTGTTTTAGTGCTGTAGAATCAAGTTTAATAATTCCTTGTCAGGAAGTATTTGTATGAAATGCAGATTTCTTCATTTCATACAAAGCGTAACAATTCAAGTTCTGACCTAGTAATTATGATTACACTGTGTCTGTACAGCATGCATACAACTTTGTCTCTAGTGATATTTAAAAACATAATACTAAAATAGTTTTCATTTAAAAAATGAAAAAAGTTTGTGTATTTCCATATGATACAGAAGTGTGTATGCAGGAGGATTTTTGATAGTTTAGCTAGATCTCTATTAATCTAAATACTTAAATATAATAATTTTCAGGTACTTGAATTCGTACACTATTTTGTGATTTTGGGATTAGACATTGTTGCGGGGGTGATCAAAGGCTTTTCTAAAATAATTTCATGCTGACTTTGTTTTACTAGTGGTTAGGAGATGCAAATAAAGTCTTGAGCCACTTTGCCTAATACCTGTGTAATTACATGGTGGGAAATGTATCTCTTCCCAAAGAAAATACTGTCTAAATAAGCAAGATGTTACCTGTCCTGTCCCACTTTACATGTGGGAAACTGAGTACAAAGAAAAGGTAAATTTCCTGAGGTCACAGAGGAAGCACGTGGCAGCCCCAAGAGCTGGACCCATTTCCAGAGCCCCCATGTACATCTTTAACCAGGACATCATCATTCCCATGTTAACTAGACTGATATTTTTCAGACTGCAGTAAGTGATTTAGGTGCCTTACTGACATTTTCAGAAATTACTGAGGAACTCAAGTGATTGCAAATCTTTTATATGGACAGCTCTGAGAAAAGAAAAGAAATTAATTAGTCTTCAGTTTATTCAACTGTACTGTCACTGTAAGAAATTCACTACTTGACATAAATAAGAGTCTCAGAGTTTGTCTTTAAGATACTGTAATGGGCTTTATACAGGTACAGATTGAGATATTTTAATTCTCTGGTTTTGCTAATGGTGATGCACCAAAAAACCCCAATATATGTGTCGTAAATATACCCAGTCGGTCATATGAAATGTCTGTTTTCTCCTTTGCAAAATACTTCTGGGGACTTCTGCCAGCTCTAATGGTTGTTCACATAATTAAAATAGAGTACCTAACTTAGAGCCGTGCAACATCTGCTTTCTAAATACGTTTATGCTCAACTGAAGTCAGCTTCCCATTTTTATTTGTGGCTTATAGTAAATGCCTCGAGCGCATTTTGCACTCAGATTAATAACCACTTTGCCATCACAAGCCTTCCTGGGGCTACCCATTTAGGGTTTTGTTTTGTTTTGTTTTGGGGTTTTTTGGGTTTGTTTTTTTTTTTCTTTCATAAAACAGGGTCAACATTATTCTTTCTAGCATTTGTAAGGAGGGAAGTCTGAAATGATCTGTCCCCTTTATTCAGATCATTCGTTTTCAGGTTTGGGAACTGGCCTTATTTTTAGTAAGCAGGGCAGTGGCACAAACTGCCTGGTGTAAATGGTCTGGTTGGGGGGTTTTCTTATTTTTGGTTGCTGAGAGTTTAGTGTAAGATTCCAGGCGGGTTGAAGTGCACTCAGTTTCACTTGCTGTCGCTACTCAGGACTGCCATCAGAAGGAGATCGCTGGCAGTGCTCGTGCTGCTTTCCCTATCGCTAACTGAAGCGCAATAAATAGCGTTCGGCTCACTGTAAGGCTCCTGAAATGAACGTGTGCGGAGACTTCGGTTAGCTGCTTCTCTCCAGTGCAGAAGGGGTGCCAGCTGCTGGATACCTCCGCCTTTCTCTCCTGCCTTCATTGCTAGGTCTGCTGGGGTCGGGTCAAGTGGTGCTGCCCAACTTCTCAACAGGTAATCTTGTTCCTTTCTTACCGCATTAGCGAGCCTGCATTTGAAACGCGTATGCAGAGCTCATCTGCAAGACAGGGAGGTTTATTGAGGCATAGGCAAGAATAAATTGCATCTTGGTAATTGAGAAAGACTGTTTGGAAGTAGGTTAAGACACAGAACTTGCGGACTCGTATGTCCCCATGCCAGGTGCCAGAACGCCCGTCCTTACCAGGAGGCAGAGGGCCATTTCCTGGGTTTGCGCAAGTGGACAGTGTTGAAGATGTCAGCTGTTGGGCTGAACAAGATAGTAATTCCGCAGAGAAGCAAGGCTTGATGCTATCTGAAATAAGACATGACTGTGATTTTTTTAATTTTTAGTGACCACAGATTTCAACTTATCCTTTAATTTCCCTGTAAATACTGTTGTTTTTTCTTCCCTGACTTAACTCAGCAGTGCTTGGGGAGTTTGCTTTTTGGTGAAAGTGTCTGGACAGAGATTTTAAGAGAAAAAGAGTCCTTTAGCAAACACTTGTGTTGTTGGGCAAATTCCCTAAGGGAGAATTTTAACGGGCTCTTAATGTGTAATGCTAGGGACCCTACAGTCTGCACAGAGGTGTTAAGTGTCACTGATCTGGCTTGATACTTTTAGAAGTGCTGGAAAGGTGTCTAAGTCCTCAGGCAGTGGCCTCAAGACTTGGGGTCCTGAGTTTGGTATGTGAGTTTCCTTGGAGAGAGCCGGTGAGCTGGGCCCTGTGTCCCCTGCCTGCTCTGGTTTGGGAGTCAGTGAGCAGTGCTGTGCAGTTCGGTGACACGCTGCAGCTCTGGGGACCCAAACTTGCACTCCAGTGCTGCTCTGTGCCGGGTTCCCAGGGCAGGGGACTCCAGCTTTGGGCCAACTTGGTCCCACGAGCCTTTCAGCTTCCTGGGGGAAGAGGGTGAGGGTGCATTCTGCTGCTCAGCAGGATGTGGCTAATCCTGGGTTGTATTTCTTCAGTTGTGACAGCCTCTTCTTTGCATTCCTGAACACAACGACATGGGGGAGGCTGCTAGTGAAGTCTACTAATAATGCCTTGCTCTGTTCTCTTCTGTTGGGGGTTCTTTGTGGTACTCTACAAATAGGAATGGCTTAATCCTCAGTACCTCCACCCCAGGTTGAGGGCAAGTGTTAATACTTCTAGTGTTATTCCATAATCTTATAGACAGAAAATATGAAGCACAAAAAGATTACATGATTTCCCAAGATCAGAGTCAGGAAAAGATTCCTATCTATCTTTCTCTCTAGTCTTGGTATCCAGTAGTGCTTTTCCGTGTCTTCCCTGGGATAGTTAACTGCCTCCTTGCTTTGCCTGCTCTGACCATAAAAAGCCCGGGGCCTTGGCAGGGCTTGGAAACTGATGTCGCTGAGGTAGGATTGAGGTTGAGCCCCTCACTGTGGCAACCTTCAGGGAAAGTCCTGCGTGTGCAGAAATGAATAGGATCTCAGTGCAGGTAGGACTCCACACATGGCCTGACTCATTCCACGGGCAAGAGCAAAGCCTCATTTTTCTGGGGAAGGAATAGGAATATTTTAGGCTAGCTACAGCAGTCACGCTTTCTATGGTTAGTTGTGGTATGGATTAGGATGAGCAAGGTGCATCTCAGAGTAGTAACAGGCTCAGGTATCTGAACAGAGAGATAAATAAGTTGGCAGGCACAGAATCAAGCATTAAGGAGAGTGCTCTTGCAGTGTGTTGATGTCATGCTGAAGCTGGGTGTTCAGGATCTGGGAAATAGAAAATGGAGACTGTTCGTGTCCACGTCATTGCTCAGTAATCAGCAACCCTTTTCCCATGTAGCTGTCTCTAATGTAGAAAAATCTTCTGGCACTGTCTGTTTCCTAGTAGATAGGTCTTTAGTCCATAGCGCCTATCCTGGCTGGTAGCACTTGCCTACGTTTTTGGGTGTCTCGGAAGAACAGGCACAGACAGGATGGGTTCTTCCCACCTTGCTCAGCTTCTTCCCCCTCAGCCCCATCACCAGCATAGCTCAGCAGTCAGGGAACTACACTCCATTTTGTGGATGGGGAACAGAAACACTGCAAGGTACTTTCATTAGAGTTACACAGAGAAATCTGTAACACCATCAGAAATGTAACTCTATACATAGAGCTATAGAAATTCCTGTTCAGGCCTTGAGCTGGTCTCTAGCACTGATGTGAAGCACAGTAGCCCATCTGGTTCCTTTATTTTTTGTCAAGATATGCTGGAGTTGGTGGAATAGCCTGCTGGCTGAATCAGTTTGGAAGCTCATGCTGTTAATGTTGTATGTGAACTGAATTTTTCCCGCTGAACTGTTGCTTAGCCCATGATTCTCAGGTGAAAGATTAAGTTAGTCAGGCTATCCTCATGGAAAATAGTTTTGAGAGTCAGAATCCTTATATTCAGAAGTGTTGAGCTCAGATTGGAAAGGGTGGAAGTGACAACCAAAATGATCAGGAGATATGATCATATCCCAAGATACTGGAACACACTGGCTTGTTCAGCTGGGCAAGATGGGAGAGATCAGATTAATGTGTATATCTGATAGAGGGAGTTTAAAATGGAGGAGAGAGGAATGTTGCTGCTGAAGGATTCTGGTGGTGCAAGAACAAATGGCAATGAATTGCAAAAAAAAAAAAAAACAAAAAAAAAAACCAACAGGCAAGGTACTAGGAGACTTTTAAGCCTGAGACCAAAGAAGGATTAGATTTAGCCATTCAAGGTAGTTATGGAAATCACCTAGAGAGGTTATTTATGGTTTTGAGATGTGATTTATGAGACTGTGGCAGTTACCTGCTGTTGTCATAAGCTTGACTTAGTAGCCCATAAATTCCTCATTTCAGAGAAAAATCTGGCAGAAAAGGTGCATTTGCCAGAGTGTTACTACCACTGCTCTTTCCTAGTGGAGATATTCCAGCGCTTGACTATCCTGCTTTTCTGGTAGAACAGTCCATGGGGAACCCCAACAAGCTGTGGTATTTCTTGATCTGCTGCGAGATCTGAAAAGACCTGAACATTTGATTTCTCGGAAGGTGAAAGTAATTTCTTGTAATGCGAGTACAGATCATTATTGGTACAGTTACTGGAATGAAAGGTTTCTCTCTGACGGGTGTTCTTAGTCCCCTTCTTTAGATGTCTTGACTAACAGAGTCTTTTAACCTCCTCCACTCGATGCAGGGCTTGGGCCAAATTTTTCCCTCCCTCTTTCACTAGAGGGACTGAAGAGTGACCATGTTCACATCAGTGAAGCTACCCTGGGTTTACTTTGTCACACATGACAGCGGAACAATGGTGCTGTGCTACTAAGTGGGAGTTGTGCTTTGTGGATATTTTTTCCTATTATTATAGAGACAGCGGCAGAGTTAAGGCTATAATGAAGGGTCTCTTATAATCACACTCCTATTATGCTTTGAAAAACGCTTTGTGAGCTTTGTATTTTGTATGTGGGCACTGCAGCTAGACAATCATTTTCTGGCAGCATTTGCTGTGAATCATGCACACAGTTTGGGGGTATTAGTATGATGTCTCAGGCATCCCTGTGTCATATTGTATTTCTCCCAAGAACATAGCCTAAAATTTTACCTCCCTGAGAAAACAAAGAGGAAGGGCTTCTGCCATTTAATTTACCTGCCCGAGTCAGCAGGCTCATCCCCAAGGTTTCCTCTGTAGTCTGTGGAAAGGGAAAAGTCCCTCAAGAACACTACTCAATACCCTGTGTTAAACTACATTTCCTCCAGTAGGAGCTTTTCTTTCTTGAGAATTTGCTATGGTAGAAAAATGGGCTTTGTACAACTTAGCACGTAAATCAGGTGCAAAACATTAGACACTAATAATCCCTTGTCTTCTGCCAGGTGCCTGGGAATGCTTTTGGGACACGAGGTGCTTTGTGTTAGGTGATGTCTCTGTAGCACAGAGGTCTGAATACTGCCAAAAATATGTATTCACTTATCTGCATCATTTGCAAAGCTGTATAGATGGTTGACATAAAGGTCATCTAAGGCTCACAAGCATTTGGATAGTTTTTTTAGATCTTGTGCCCTTGTGGACAGTGTACAGGACTGGAATTCAGCCCTGCTGGTTCCACTCCCAGCAGGGACTGCATTGACCCTGGAAAGCATGCTTGGTTTTTGCTATACAATGGGAGTCTATATTGATTTGGGTTTTTATATGTATCAATGGAAAGCTATTGCTGAGAAATTTGAAGTAGAATTGCAGTGGGTGCTTTTTTGCTTTGTATGCATCTTACATTGAGTCATGTAAAGCTTACAAAAGCCCCAAGGACTGATGCTTGTATAGCTTTGCCTGTGTTTGTTTCTTTTCACACCAGGCTTCAAGAAGCATGTGCCTTTGATGGGTGACGGGAAGGTGGAAAAGAGATGTCCTGCCTATGGAAAGACATTGTAGAGTGTACCAGTCTGGCAAGATTTAGAAAACAACCATTGTGCAAGAACTGACTCTTTGGATCTGGGGAAAAATGAATTCTGTACACTGTGGTTGCTCCCACTTGAATAATGACATGCAAGATTTGGTTTCAATGCAGGTTTCAGTTACAGTGAACTCATGAGAGAGGTTGTGTCAATAAGAGCAATGGCTTCAGTGTCTGTCATGACTACATACATTTTGTTAGAATATGGAGTGAAGGCTGGAAGTTTTCTTGCTGCATCTGCCAGTGACATTTTCAGATTCTGTGTGTCCAGCCTGAGGTGACCAAGCAGAAAGTGCAATTCAAGACTAAAAAATAAAATACAAATTCTTAACTCAGCCCTCCTATCAGCACAGCCTTCCCAGATATAACTACATCTGTTATTATCTTTGACAATACCTGCCATACCCCATCATTCATCCTGTTACACTTTGGAATTACCAGGGAAAAACAGGGAAAAACATGCACATATGATACTTTTCAAGGATATGTTTATAATTCCTCCATAACTCTTTTCCACATATTAGCATTAGGACCTGAATTCCAAAAGGCACTGAACCAGTGCTTTCAAATCACTGTGATCCATAGGTAGAAGGTGTGTTGTCAAAGCATCTGTTCTCAGGGGCCTGGCTTGGACAGCACTTTCACACTTGTCCATTCCTGTGATAATGTCTATTCCCTTTCCACAGGCGACTGAGGAGGGGTTCAGGCTCAGGAGGCTTCAAGCCCTTTGCAGCGCTCTGGGCTAATCCAGCAGCAGATGTGTGCAGCACGAGACAGGGCTGGCTTAGACCTGCCTTTGGGAAGGGGCACTAAGGCTTCTCTGTTCCTCGGGCAGTCCAGGGTCGTGTGCCTCAGTGACTCCCTCCTGCCTGCCAGAACTAGCACAAAGCTGTTCAAGCCCCAATTCTGACCAGTAGGTGTGGACGCGGGAAACAGTAGCTGGACCAGAGGGCAGAATATTTATTGTCACCTTCAGTTAAGGCCTTCTCATCTTTGGAACTTGAACATCTGATCAAACTACAAAGCTCTGCTAACAGTTTCTAAAAGCGCAGCTCTTCTCTGAAAGAGACCGTTTCATGCTTGTCTCTCAGGGATATGGTGGCAACTGTGTGTGGCTTACAAGTACAAAGAAACTTTTTTTTTTTTTTCCTAACTGTCTCCCCTCCAGATGCAGCCTGAACTCAGAGACCTGAGCTATGGTCTTTTCCATCACCCTCTGATCAGAGGTTTTGATAGAAAAGCCGAGTGTGCAGCCACACCTGTGAGCTGGGTCCCGGCAGCGTGCACAAAGGGACATCCAGGGAGTTCGCTTGGAAGGGTTGCTCATGCATGAACTGGAACTGAACCCAGCTCTGCCCTCCAGCATTATTTTGAAGAAAACAGTTACACTCTTCTATGTGGTGCAGCTGTGCGCTTACTTGCAATACTGCCTTTACTGCTGCAGGTAGAGTCTGCTGGGAGGCTTTAGGGAGCCAGCAGCACTCAAGGCCAATGGGACAAAGAACTGTTTAAGCATGCTGTTGTTACTTTCATTTAACAAGTGAGAAAGGAGAAACAAAACAGGTAGAGCAAATCTGCAAAAACCATTTCTCAGGTGGAGGTAGAAGAGCTTCTAAAGGAGAGGCAGATTACACCTGCAACATCTAGATGAGAAGGTGGCAGTGGTTTGCACAGAAGGTAGAAATGTTCAGCCATATACTCTCCTTTCCTAAGTAAGCAATGATGTTGCTTTCCAAACCATGCTATTCTCAGCAATTTATTTTGTGGTAAGAATTACTGACAAAAGGGGATTCAGCCAGCACTGCTGGACTCTGTCCAGCCCGGCTCAGTCCCCTCAGCCCCTCTCATCTTGAGCTCTCCCTCCTGTGCAAGAAGGAAAAGAGGACCAAAGTCTAGGGAGGCTGCGAGTGCCTTTTTCAAGCAGATCAGCAAATTGGGAGCTGAGGTCAGATCCTTTGGCAAGGGTTTACCTCACATGCAAGCAAGACCAATGACCCCCACCTGTCTTAATGTGCCTGGGATTCAGGTGCCAGCTGAGCTGCTGGTCAAGGTCTCTTCCCTCCTATTCCTGCTTTAGGATGTGAAGGTGTAAAGGCTCACAGACAAACTGCCACCTTCTCTGGCCAACAAGGCCAGAGGAGAAACCTCAAGCAGAAGCAAGGAAAGTCATTGGTTTCCTATGTACCCTCAACAGCTCCTGATCTTGGTTATTTCTTAGAGCAAACAAGTCAGATCAGGGCTCATTCCAACCACAGCAGGCACTAAGTAAAGCTTCGGGACAGGGAGGAGGCTGACTGGCAAGCCTGCTGATACAAAACTTGCAGTGGACAAACCAGTGCTCAGGATCCAGGCAAAACCCAGATCTGGGTGACTTCTTTTGGCTTGTAGGAAACAGTGAGCCTTGTGCAGGACCAGAAGCTGAGCACTCTGAAATGGGGTGAGGCCATCTCTCCAGACAGTACCTGTTCAGTCAGTGATTAGGAACAAACTCTTTGAGGAGCAGCTCCAGAGCTAAATTCACATCTTGTGTTTGTACCGTGTTACTTGCTCTCTCAGGCTTCTATCAGGATGATTCTCTTTGCTGTGTCTCAGGATTAGCTGTGGTATCTGACAATATAGGAGCTCCAGATGAAGCTTTACTCTTGCATGGGCATTTATAACTCACCACCACCACTTTGTCTCCCTTCCTCCCTGGGCAAAAGAAGCCTACAACGAGGGGGATTGAAAGCTGAAGGCATTGTCTTTGTCAGTTTGGATGAAACTGGCCAACAAGGGGGAAAAGGTAGATCCAAGTACCAACACGCTCTGGCACCTGAAGCAATCAGTTCCTTTGGCCAAAAACCTCAGAAAGCTGAGTAACGGACCACATAAGAGAATAGTTCAATAATGTTTAGAAAGCACAGTTATGCTTCTAAATGTCTGCTGTGTCCCAGACTCTTCCAGCTGATAGATACAATAACAAGTTGTCATGCCTGATTCTCTCTCACCATTTCAAACTTGCAGGTAGAGGAGAATCTGTAACAAGATAGGAAAAGAAAGAGGAGACAAGTTTTCTTTCCCAGTCCATGGAAAAATAGCCTGTTGGATTATCATCTGGAAACTGTGGGAAGTGCCAACATGAGCAACGAGAGGCCAATGAACCCCAGCTCATCTACACTGAGCGAGGGCCTGAAGAGAAAGAGGGGGAGACCAAAGAAGCAACCACAGGTGAGGGCACATCACCCTAAGAGGTTGCCTGAGGATGCTATGGCATTAGCCTGATAGGATTTGCAGGCAGGCCTGGGATGTGGCTTGCTAACAAAGAGCAAGGGAAGCTGAGGTGTTCTGTGGTAAATGCTGTGCAGGAAAGCAGCAGTATGTGCACCCTGGGGCATCTCAGCCGCTGGCTTCAGAGGTGCCTCTGGTGTGGCAGGCCATGACTGTTCAAGGCAGGAAATGGCACGAGAGGAGCTAGCCAGGTCTCTGCTCCAGTCTGGAGGCTTTCAGGTGTCACCACCCTCCGTTTCTGTGCCAGTAGTTGGATAGAGCGGAGAAGGCCAAGGCCTTCTCTCTCCTCATTCCAGGTGCTATGGTCAGAGTCCTGGGAACTCTGTATTTGTTTCCTCAGCCCAAAAGACAAGGGGGTAGGGATATTGCTGGCCATCTTCTAATGTACTTCACAGCTGGAAAAAGTAGAGACAACCAGATATGTAGTGGTCTGGGTGCTATTATTGGTGTAAGACAGTCTAAGACACATTAGAATGAGAAGCTGTAAGTTTTAGGGATCATCCTGCTTAAAGGATTTTCTCCTTTTATCCCAGGAGGAGGCTGTGGGACCATTGCCAGTGAAGAAACCACGAGGAAGGCCAAAAGGAAGCAAGAAAGTGACAACTGTATCTGGACAAATGGTAAGAGTAAATGGCTTATATTCTTTTATGGGGGAGAGAGAAGCTGGCTGTCCCTTCTTGAAGCATTGCTAGAGGGACAAGCAGGAAGGTTTCTCTTACCTTAAAATAGACAGTAAAAATTGCCCCTAATTCAGCTCAGCTTTAGTTGACACTGTTGGACAAACCAGTTATTGTGGTTTTAGTCCTAACTCACCTCCCAGCCTTCCTGCGTTGCCACTGCCCATTCAGCAGCTTCCTTCTATGGTTTCTCCACCACTGCCAGATAATCACAACCAGCTTAGTCTGTCATGCATTTCCTCCTCAACTGTCTTCTATCCCCAGCTTTCACCTTTTCTGCTACCTTTCTCACCAGAACTTTATTACAGAGATCATATTGTCTAGGCTCAGTGTATTAGTCACAGTGCCCAGCAAATATGAGAGCTGAAAATATTTTTTTCCCCTTTGTTTTCGATGAAGGTAGAACCTTCTGCTGGGAAAAGGCCAAGAGGGAGGCCCCGCAAGTGGGTGAGTACAGCGCTTAGTCCTTTTTCTCTTCTCCAGTCACAGATACTGGGGGATTTTCTGTTGTGTTTGTTCTTCTCAGGCTCTCTATCTGCAACAACATTCTTTCAGCCTAGAAGACCTGGAAATCTAACATATTAGGGAAGCTATGGCTGCCTTCCAGGGCTGCCACCCCTAACATTCAGCTCCTGAAGAATTCTGAGAGCCCAGGAGAGCTGCTGTACTTATTTCAAGACATATTAGTACTTTCCCAGGCTTGGAATGTCAGACCAGAGAGTCCGTCCTTTATCAGGTGGAGGAGTTGTCTTCCCAGGAGTCTTGAAAGACAAGTTACTGCCTAGTGTGTCAGTTTGTCTCAAAAAAAGAACCTTAAAATTAAGCAAAAAATCTGGTGAATGACGAAACTTTGAATCCTGCCAGCAGGAGGCTCTTTTATGCAGCAAACAAAGGATTAGTAAGAATCAGTAGATGAAGATAGAACATTTCAGGCATGAAAAATAAATGAAATCTTTTAATCAATAAGGATATTGAGTCCTGTGAACAATTAATGGCATGTTATCTATCATTAGGAGTGATTAAAATACCCCACAACAACCACAAACCATTATTTGGTGTGTACCTGTTACCACAAAAAATTCTAGACCAAACCCAAGCTGTGCACTCGCTGCAGGAATCCATAGGTTTGTTCTATGGCTGCGGTGCCACAGGAGTGCTTAAGATGGAAAGAGACGCTGTCTGCTTCAGCAGAAACAGAGGGATAGAGCAGTCCATGATGGTTAGGCAGGAGGCTTGGAAGGAAATCTTCACCCGGGGGGAAGTGCCAGGATGTGGTAGAGATTAGAAGACTTTTCTGACATGACAGTGACCTTGGCATACAAGTATTTGCTGGATAGTGGTGGAGGAAAACTGTCTGCAAACCCAGAGCAGAACTGAATCTCCCAGACAAGAGATCTACTCCATAAATCTGTCCAATTGCTGCTTCTTCTCTGAGATACAGATGAGAAGGTCACAGTCTAGTTCAGCACAAAGCTTTTGCCAAAAGCCCATTGCTTTTTCTCAGCCCATTTATATTATGTTATTTAAACACACTGTGTAAGGAAAACTGGTACCTTATCAGTGGTTAAAGCAACTGGCTCGTAAATTGGGATCCTCAAGCTCTGTGGAAAAGCATTGGAAGCAAAATGGCTGTGTCTTAGAGACCAAGACATACTGAGTTCTGCTGGTGTCATCTGTGGGCTGACAAATCTCAGAGAGAAGAGGGAGGACCTAGAAGGATATGAATAAAGGACAGTGTTCTCCCTTTCAGTAGTGGTAGAGTGCCATGGCCAGGTTGTTGTGAAAAGCCCTTTTGGAGGAAAAAGAGGCATCTCAGGGCTACAAAGTAGAAAAAGATAAAAAAGATTCTTTTTTTTATTTTTTTTTTTTTTTTTTTTTTTTTGGAGATTGTTTTGTAGAAAGAGGAAGAAATGAGGGGAAAACATACAAAGCATCAACAAATTAGGAGAGAAGATGCTCTTTTATGCAAGCGATGCATAAAGCAAGCAAGCAAAATAACTCGAACATGTATAGCTCAGATAGACATACACTAGAGCCACATGCATTGGAGAGATATCAGAAAGGGATAAGGAGGCACAGCCAGTCTTAGCTCTTGATTCCTTTTCAAAAACAGAGTGGGTCAGAAGGAGCTCAGGTTCTGTGCGGAAGATGTTCTTTTCCTGCCCAGAGACTCTATAAGCAGGGATACATAGATTGCTCCCTGGAGCAGATGAGGAGCACAGTCCTGTTTAAGTAGAGTGTCCAGGATAAAATGACGGTGAGAAGGGAGGCATTGTTATCTGCTGATAGTGAACAGAACTGAATGTTGCTGAGGTGGACTGAAAATGGCAGGGTAATACAGCTAAGTGTGAGACACAGTACCAGCCTGAACCAGGGCTGGGGACAGGGAGAGAGCGAGCTGTACAGCCAGAAAATCAACCTCTGCCTCCCCAGGTAACATTGATTGAAGATAACTTTATAAAAATAAAGTGAGAGATAGTATAGGTGTTAAGTGAAGTATTGTGATTGCAGGGTTCTCCCTCCTGCTCTGAGAGTTTGTGCTGGATGAGAGGGTTTCTTACTCCTTTCTGGAGGGTCTGGGTGCTGGCTGAGTACTCTTCAGATGCGTTTGAGTCTGTTAGAACTCTGCTAAATTCCAAATTCCTTTGCAACAGAATGTCAGACAGAGCCCAGAGGCAAATAGGTGGAAGTTTCTGGGAGCTCAGAAGCTGACTACTAGACGTTGCTCTGAAGTTGCAACCCAGTAGAAAGCAACAGCTAGAAGAGGAGAATTTGTGTTAAAAAAAAGAAGCACTGAGGAGAACAGAGCAACATCACGTGGCATATTCTCACCAGGTGAAAGCAGGGTCAGGGAGGGGCATTCAGGGGGTTTGCATGACAGCAACACAGTCCGAGCGGTGTGACAGCCCTTCCTCGGGAGCAGAGAGAGGCAGCAGGGCTTTGCAGGTAGCTTTGAAGCAGTCTGGATATTACTGAATTTGAGATGGGATAAGAGGGATATTCAGCAGTAGGTGCAATTTGACCTGGCCATGTGCATGAGGGGAGGCAGAGACTGAGAAGAGGGGAAGGAGGCTTCAGCTACCTTGTCTTGGACAGTGGTACGAACAGATGTGTCCTGTATGGCAGCCATAAACTACAGTGGGTAAGTGCAAATGCAGAGGCCAAAGGACTCCAGAGGAGCTGGCAGGCAATTTCTAGAGCTAGTTTATGCATTTTTTCATCTAATCTGAAATAGGCAAAATTAACCCGTGGGAGTGCTATAGTGCCTTTCTGCTTCCTGCCTGGTAAGGGGAAGAGCAGGCGATGCAATTCAGTGGGAGGAATAGATTCAGTCTCAGCTTCTGCTGTTGCTGTGATGCAGTCTGAACTGGGGCAGAGAAGCCTTGGCTATGAAATTCTGTTGTTGTAGGGTTCAGGAAAGCCAAAAAATGTGGAGTACGTACTATACAAAGCTGAGGAGCCTATTCGGGGCAAGTTTGAGAGAGGGTTTCAGACCAAGGGACAGTTTATAAAACACCTGCTGGTAGGGCTGTTTTGTGGTTAAACTGACAGTAATAGTGATAGAGGAGATGGCTTCAGCCCTGCTTTGTAGCTATTCTTGTGTGCCTGACACGGCTGCAGGGAGAAACACCCCCCTTCCCCCCCGGACACAGGTTGCTGCAGTGGAAAAGGAAATAGGGGCACCAGGCAGTGTTAAGAACATTCTCTGCAACATCTTGTGGGGCACAGACACCCATGTGTGTGTTGTTCAAAAGCTAACATCTTAAGTAAAGCTAGCTAGAATGGTTTTCCTGTCCTGCATCCCCTTTTTTATTGGTAGAAGTGCAATTAAAAAAAAAAAAAGTTTCCATGGAAATTCCTAATTTTTCATAATGATAATCTATTTAAAACACATCCTTATAAATTCACTGAAACTTTATTCTTCCTTGAAACCTTTATGCAACATGGAAGAAACAAGACAACGGTTTGGAGTATCCTGATAGCTCACAGGATTTACTAATAGTGGTACTGAATGTCTAATATTCCTCAGCTCTGTGTGTACCTATGCTTCTTTTTATTTTCTTAGCATCTTAGAATAACTTAGGTTGCAAGGGCCCACTAGACATTCTTTAGTTCAAACAACCGCTCAAAGCAGGTCTAATTGGATCAGGGTGCTCAGGGATTTGCCCAGTCTGTAAACATCTATAGCATGTTAGAAATAATTTATAGCTATCTCTCATCTGTAAGAGGCTGCAAATGAGGTTGGAAAAGACTCTTCCAGCCATTCTGTTCTATAACAGATTGTAATAGCTGCAGTTCTAGGGTTAGGCTTGGGGTTTTGTGGTTAAACAAACTGAGTTGTGTGCCAGAGCTGCAAGTTAGGGTGTTTGTTACTATAAACAATGAGCTGCAGAGTAATTAAAAGGAAAAAAAAAACCCAAACAAACCAAGCACCAACCAACCAAAACAACAAACTTTGCTATATGCCAATTTATGGAAGTTAAAATTGCCTCCTTTTTCTTCCTTTCTTTTTAATGTTTCAGAACGTGTCATTCCAACTTCGGTTAGTGAAGCATTCTGATGTTTCAGTTCAAAATTAATTTGTTTAACAACTGAGGAGTTTTTGAGGAGCACAACCAATGCAGAAGAAAAAGAACAGCCATTTGGTTTTTAATTTCTGATGGACAAAATGTTTAGTTGTTCAGGAGAGGAAAATATCCTGAAATATAGAAAATGTTCTCCAGGATGAAAAAATTTCTCCACAGCTGCATAATGGGGAGACTGTTTTCAAAGCGTGGGGCCATGTGTCTTGTAAGACTGGTAATATGGTGGGTTATTATGGATTCTGACAGCCATTCAGGGACGCTTGTGAATGTATGTGGACACTACATGCACTGGCACTTCTCTTGCATATGGCTGGATATAGGAGGTGGTGGTAAATGAGCATGCTTTCAGGGCTGCACAGTCTTATTTAAACAACACTGATCAAAGGCTTTTTGCTTTCCATCTACTTTGTGTAATTGAAATCTTGTCCCTTGATATCTAATTTTATGTGGGGGATTTTATTTGGTTTTGGTGTTTTTCTTTGTAGCCTCAACTAGCAGTCCAAGAAGGAGTGTCACAGGGAGAAAATCCCCAGGGAAGCAGTGACTTGAATTTGAACTCGGCGCCAGCCACACAAGGTTTGAAATTAAATAATCATAATTACGTAAGACTGAACTGTGCAAACCATGCATGTACCCCTAAAGCTCTAGCACTGGCTGCAATCATTCTGGTAAATCCTACAAACAGAAGAGAATTTGGAAGGCTCCCAGGCACATTACAACAGGAGGGGTAGCACATTCCTTCCAACTAATTCAGTTGAGACTACTTCAGCAGAAGTGGAGGCAGAAAAGAGGGATGGGAAGAGACTGTATCTGTCTTTCCAAGAAGTCATGTATCTGAGATTCTGGTCACTGTTACAGGTATGACTCAGTGAAATTGTCTGGCTGTGTTATATAGACAGTGAAAATAGTCTATCACGAATGTCTTACCTTGAAAAAAATAATGAGTCAAAGATCCCTTGACATTTAGGACAACCTAGAGTATTCTGGATTAACTCCAGAATGCCTCCAGGACAGCCTTGCTCTCTCCTTCCTGGCTTGTACTCTAAGGCAGTGCTCTCTGTTAGTGGCTGGCAGGCTAGCAGAGAAGCTCGTGCATCAGCAACACAGAGAATAAAGACACTGGCAAGTTTCTATACAGGGCTGCAAAGTTATCTAAGCTGCTCTGAGATGCCAGATAACTGTTATCGCTGTTGTAGGAACTTACAGATGCACCACCCAGAGCCTCAGCCTCACTACAACGCTGGGAAAGTGCAAATCCAAGTCCAGCCTCTACCATTCAGGGCTGTTTCTGAGGTAGATGCCAGGAAAACTTGCGTGCAGCCAAGTCCTACCTCCAGTGAGCATTGTAGGAAGCTGTTCATTAAATATTTTCCCTTGAGGGGGAGGGGGAAGGGGCCGGCAGCACAGGAGAGGCAGATGTTGCCTTGTTTTGCCATGTGGTCAGCACAGCTGCTCCCTCATCCTGCTGCCGTTAGCGCTGTTGAGCGTGGCGTGCGAAGCGAGCTAACTGACACTGGGCAGCCAAACCCAACCTCGGGTTCTTAGAAAGTCCCTGGAAATGCTGCATGATAAAATGCCAGAGTAGTTAACCTCAGTTGCTCGATTCAGTTTCCTCTTGGGCTCCTGCTCCCGTATCACTTCCTGCCACCGAGTTGTGTGATGACATCAGCAGAGCCACAGGCTCACGGATGATGAGCTCACCTCCGGCCCAGTCACTGCCTTTTTGTAGTACTCTTAAGCATCGCCCAAAACCACAGCCTATGTGGGTACTTTCTTCTTCCTTTCAGTTTGAGTGGGACGGAGGGCAGTGACATGAGGAATATGTTTCCCTCGTGTCGCAATGAGGTAGAACCAGATGGGACAGGATAAGCAGATGCTGCGGTCAGTGGGAGATGGCGGTGCAGCACATGGCACTCCACACAAACCACTCTGCATCTGCACGCTTAGTGCCCGGGATGGAGAGGGGAGGTTTACAATTGGGGAAGGTGTGCACTTCCATGAGGAAAAAAACCAGCCCATTGAAAATCATTGGGGATAAGCATGTAACAGTATGAAACCTGGCAGTCCTCTGGAAAATTACCTAACAGTTGTTATTCACCCAGGAGCTTGAGATGAGAGTGGCAATCCTGTCTTAGAAACTTCCGACTAAAAAGGAAAATAGGAGACTTAGTATTCTGACTTACTGGAAACTATAGATCCTGTGGCTTGTTTGCAAGTGAGACACAGCTGTAACAGCTTTTGGACAAGTAGTTTCTGGATGAATCCATTCTATGGGTCTGAAAGGTTTAACATAGATATAACATGCCTGCAAACTTTTGTGTTACTCATGCAGGAGGCTACTGCTCTGAGATTTGTTAGCAGGAGTCTGCAATCACACAATAATCTTCTGCTATAGGCACAGCCAGAGATTTTGGTCACTGTAGGTTCATTGGTTTGGTTATTCCTTTCAGGTGAGGATTTTCGAGCTGCTATGCTAGAGGGAGGGCATGGGAGGATGCATGTGCTTGCTCATTCTGCAGGTTGCAGAGCTGTACAGCTCTGAGTGGGGAAAGAGATCTGTTCCAGGCTTCATGTCTGAAAGCATTAAGGAAGAATTGCTGAAAGAAACAATGTCTGACTCCCTGCTTTTCAGTCAGTCTGTCAAGAGGAGAATCAAGAAATAGGAAGAGCCAAACTAGAAATATGCAAGACTTGCAAACCTGCCATGGGGCAGAGAGCCGCTTTAAAGCTAGCAGATGTTTTTCCATGGCCTTTGTAGCTGGGGATCTAGCTCTGATTTTCCCAAGGCACAGGTTATGGGTGACTCTAGGCTATCCAGGAGCAGGCAGGGGGTTGTTAATGGTTCAGGCTTTACTGTGTTGCTACCTGCAGATGCTGCCAATCACAAGTCAATTGTGAAAGTTTTCTCTTTGTCTGGACCAAGAAGCATTTGTCTTCTCTTCCATGAGTACCACTACTGAATGACTGATGAAGCTGATTTCAAAGCCTTCCTAAGCCACAGGAGCAGCCTTGCTTTGTTTCAATAACCTTGCTTGGTTAAGGGAGTATAGATGTGAAAGGGAAAGTTTGCTTTATGGCAAATTTTCCAAGACTCAGTCCAAAGCCAGAAGCAGCCTTGGGATCTTGCTCCCTTTTGTCTGTCTTTCCTTCCCTGCGGTCTTCTCAGTACACTGAGAGATGGAGCAGCTGCAAACTCCTTTGCCTCACCTTGTTCCCTCTGCTGCCCCAGCAGTCATCTCAGCTTTCCTGGAAACCAAGAGGTTAGCTGCAGGTCAGAGCAAGCCTGTGTAGCCAGAAACATTCCCCACTTTGAGACAATTTTCAGACCTTATGTCTGTGCATCTACTTTCCTGTTGTTTATGACATTGGGTAAGGCATGTCTGGTACTTTGTGTCTCATGAGGATCCAGGGTGGCAGTTGAAAATACATATAACTGCTCACAGCAGAGGTTGGTTGTATGTGCTTGCATAGCAGAAGGCAGAAAATTTCCCACAGACTATAACTTCTGGACTCTCAATAGCCTCATGCTGAGGCTTGCTGCCAGGGAAGTCATTTGTATCAGTCTTTAGCCTGGAGCTGGTACAAGAGCAATGGGAATGTTGTTGTGAAGACCTTTGGTTTTTAGGGAATGCCACCATTTAACCTTGCACTAACTCTGTAGTGGGGCATTTGGGCAGCTAGGCTCCTGGATCCATCCAGAGCTCTAACACTTTCTCTCCCATGATCTTTCCCTTTAGGCATCACTGGAAAAGATGGTTCCAGGCCCGGCAAAACTACTGGCCTTAGGAGATCTCTGAGTAACATCCCTGCCACAGCTCAGTAGTATGCCACCTGTTCATGTCTTGCTGAAGCCAGAGGACTGGAAAGCAAACAGGATTTTTCATGTTATACTTCAAATTCTTTCTTTGTGATAATTTTGGCCAAGCTTTCTCTCTTGTTGTCTGCCGGTTTACCCCAAATATCCAAACAGGGACTTAGGGTAAGAAATGGCAAATGCCTTCTCAGAGAAATGCTTTTCACAGTTTGTAGTATATCTTTTTTTAGGAAAGATTAATATCCTCACAATACTTGGATGACATTGTGCCTTGCCTTGCCCTGCCACGGTCAGCAACAGCAATAGTTCAACAGAAAGGTAGTGTTGACTCAGTAATGCAGATACAGTAAAGGAAACCTATTTACACAGCTAACTGCTGAACTTCTGTATCACACTACCTCTGGTAGATCGATGTTAAGTTTTGCTCAGTTGTCCATAGGGATTGCATCTGAAAGACAGTCTTCGAGTCCTTTCTTTACTATATCAGAAAGAAAAAACCTTCACGGCATTTCCAGCTTACGTAATGCTGTTGCTGTAATAGTTGGTAACTTGAATGCTTTAGAGGAAAGTTCACACCCTGATGTCTTGGGGATTGATTCTGAAATTTTTATCCTAGCACTATCAGCTCAGGGCCATCTCCTGCAACTAGTTTTTGGCCTGGTGGCACTCCCCCTGGATTTGATAGCAACTCTGAGTGCACGATGTTTACCAGCTTAGTCACAGCCACTGGATTTCATCACTTCAAAGGAGTGTCTGTAAAAAACCAGTTACACAAAGGTTGCTTCCTTGGAGAGCCTCAGGATTCAATTTAAATTAGTTGTATCTTCAGTCCATAATGTGCATATGTGGGGTCCTCTAGTGTTGCAGCTCTGCAAATAAAAGCTTGCTGATACAGTTTAGTTTTGGGAGACAGCAGCAACCGGTTGGTCTAAGACCGTCTGCTGGCTGTTCTCAGTCTCACTTTGTACGCAGATTTGTGCTTTCTGCGTCAGAGCTGATCTTGCTAAATTCTGAGGAATTGAGGGTATTTTCAATATCCAGTTGCAAACAGTGAAATCCCAGTGATATTTTCCATCTTGTAGATGCTCTGCCTGTCTATTAAAGGGACAATGTGGTTATTTCAGTTATTTTTGACAAGAAGTAAAATTGGCTATCTTTACAGTGTTAAATATTTAAACAGATCATAATTGGCTTTAAATTTATGTCAGTGCATAGCAGAAACCCATGAAATGGTAGTATATATTGAATTCATTTGTTATCCTTTCATCAGAGGTCTGCTCCCTTAGCAGGTATTTATTTGACACACGATATTGTATGCAGAATTAAGAGGAAGGGCTGACTGGAGAGAGAAACAAGGGTTTTTTTCCTTCTAGGTAATTTTGTCCAGTCTGACCAGTTTAGCAGTGATCAGTCTTCTTAATCCTGTTACTTCTCTTTAGTAGTGATCAGAGTCCCAATCCTGTTAATTCTGTGTGTTGTCTGGTTTGCCCTAACAGCAGTTTCTTGTGTATGGAGTTTGGTAGTCTCAGCTGAAAACTGCATCACAGATAACCTTTGTGCCTCCTCTACCACATAGCAGAGAAATCAAGGATTAAATGTATTAGATCACAGGGACTGACCTAAATTGTAGGCTGTAGGATGAGGTGTGCTGCCAAGTATGGGGAGAGTTTGTCCCCCTTCTCCTGCTATGTGGATAAATCTGGGTGGACACCATGCACGCACATCTGTAACTGTTGATGTTACAATGGGAAGATCCAACTGGTGTTCCTCTGAATTGACGTTAGGGACTGCTCTTCAGTGGACACACAAGCTCAGCTGCAGTTCATGTCTGCATTCAAAGGCCACTCCAGTGGCAGACCAAGATATTTTATCAATTTCTTTACCTGATTTTCAGGTGAACTGGCAGATTTAGTACTCTACTTGCAAGGCTGTACTGCTTATTTAATTAACCCCTATTACCTGAGAGTAATAGCTGTTACAATGTGAGACTGGAACTTCAGCTTCTCCTAAATGGATTAGGGATTGCATCTGTAAGAGACACAAGCTTTTATGACATCAGTCAGATCTTTCTCAGCTGGTGGCATGGAGTAGGGATGGAAATAGTTTCAGTTAGATAGTAAATTGATTTGCTTTAGGTCAGTAGCATTCCTCTGGGACAGGTATACGAAGTACTTTTTTTTAAAAAAAAAAAATTCTAGTCTTTGCTATCTCTTCATAATTGGGAATTAGAAAACATGTCTCCATAAAAATGTACGTGCTCGAGAACAAACAGAATTCCACACTATTAGGAGCTACTCTGCATGTAGTTGAAATCCCAATCCATAGCTTCAGCTTCCGTGTTTATGCAGAGACTTGGAATGAAAGCAATGCCTATTAAAGATGGGCAGAATTCCAGCCGTCTTCAGAGAGCTAGGATCTCATGCTGGATTATTTGGATTTTTTTTTTTAAATGATAAATGCTTTTTATTTCCCGTATAGTTAGTTACCTTTTCTGTGTAGCCAAATCCTACCTCTAAGCAAATGCCTTTCCAGTGTTATTAAGCTGAGGCAGTTTTGGTCTGACAGTCAAAAATAAGAGGTCACTGTAGTTGGATCAAAACATGAGAGATGAAGGAGGTTTGTTATCTAGCAAAGTTTGAGAGATTCTCATAAATTGTTTTAGTGAAGGCATAAAGAGTGTTGGCAACTGGCAAATTAGCCTTAGAACTTGTTTTTAATAAAGGTATAAAATGTAGCACCTCAGGCTTCTGCTTTTCCTCCTCCATGTGCAACAACCTCAGCACACATGCATACCACCAGACAAGGTGAGCTTCTCTTTATCTGCATTGGAGTTCTGGGGATTATAAAACAAGATTTTGTCATTCAGGAGCACCCACAGATATATGTGAAAACAAGGAATAATGAGCATGAGGAACCACACGTGGAGGAAAACATTAAACCCAAATGTTGGTACCCAATTCCATCCTCTTGTGTATCTTACAAATACCTCATAACTGGCTTGATTGGAACACAAGCCAATTCTGCTTCACATGTCCATCCAGAAGTCTCCACAGTTGTGTGTTGATGCCCCACATTGTTCTGTGTGCCATACAACTATTTAGCCTTTTATGCAATTAATTTTGTTCCTGTGCATAGCCTCTTCAGTTAATCTGACAGCTTTCCTAACCAGTCCAAAGTTTTGGGTCTGTGGGCCAGAAGATGATGCAGAAAGCAAATCTGAAATACGCCAGCAATATCACCATGGAGCTACTGATGGTGCTGCCCACAATGTTCACCCCAGTGTGGCTGGGCTGTTGTGGATAGAGCTGCAGGTGAGCTAATGAACCTCTAATTTGTACAGGAATTCAGCTGGTTAAAGGATAACACGGCAAACAGGCAAGTTGGAATTTGTCTTTCTACCCTTTGGATGCCTAGGACCTGCTAGGCTGGAAGGTCCCACCTTCCCAACTTTTCCACCAAGCCTTTCTGAAGAGGTCTGAGTTTCCATGCTGTGGAGCACCAAACCTTGACCCCCACAGAGCTTGTCCTTCCATTACTTCAGTCTTTGAAAGAGTAGGGGAATTCACTGCATACAAATTACCAACAGGTATTGAGGATACACTCCAGTTTTCTGTGAGGGGGGAAAAAGACAATCACACTAGATTTCATGTAAATAGTTTAATTATATTTCAATGCTTAAAACACAGAAACACTTGAATTAAATTACATCATAATGCTTCTGCTAAATTGTACATATACTTCCAAGAACTGTGAGAGGAGGCGCTACTGAACTAAAAGAATACTCCAGTACAAGCCCAGCAAATACCCGTAATATTCTCTTAGTCTTATTATCTGTACTGCTTTAATCTAAGGGCAGTCATCACAGGACAAAGCCTACCATTACAGGAAGAATGGTTAAAGAGAACTCCTCTGTAGGTATGTTTGTTATACAAGATACATCTCGGCATTAATGTGGAACAGGGTGCGTGTTTTTGCACCTGAGCTGGCAGATGCACTGCTTGGCAGCTGCCTGTGCAGCACGTGGAGTTGGGTAAAGGGGTAAAGAGCACAAAGTAAGCTGTTGGTTTGAGGAAACAGCTCAGCTTACACTTGCCTTTTATTGAGTTTAAAACAACAAATGAAGTTCCCATCCTAAGAGTTCCAGAGGAAACGTTGCAATTTAGGACAGCCATGCACCCCTGCTGCTGGGTGCATCCCTGTCCTGCTGCAGAGAGTGGGAGCGTGACAGGCAGTGACGTGCCAGCTGCTGAAGGGAGCAATCTGATGTCTCTGTGGCTGGCTGCCCTCAGAGAGTGCTTGGAGGAGGGGGTAAGTGTGCATCTGTGTGGAGTGGGATGCAGTTGCTCTCAGCTGGTCGCACAGGCATAACCTCTGGGGAGACCCACGGGTAGTGTCCAAATTCGAAGGACCTAAGCCAGATTATGCTATTTGTACCCACATACTTTCCTTCCAATAGTATCCCTGGAGTGCAAACACCAGCAACAACCACCAGCCTGGGAGTGCCTCCTGACAGATCAGGTGATGACACTCCTCACCCTAATACGCTCCCAGAGCTCCCTGGTTTTAAAAGGCAAGAAGGATGCTCAAAATTTTAAGCAATTTAGCCCTGCAAAACTGCCATGAGGGAAGCTGTGTCAGTGAAGGAGGGAGGGCTGGTAAGGAACTATGCACTGCAGGGGTCAGTGGCACATGCCCAGGAAAAAGTCTGCATTTAATAAATACAGGAAAAAAATCACAGTGAGGAGGAAAAAAAAAACAAATTTGGGAGAACAAAAACTAACTGGCAGGTCCAAACTTGCAACAAAGCATACTATACCTGAATTGCCACTCAGTGAAACTTCTCCTTGCATCAAGCCTGCCTTTAGATTTGCATTCATATTTTGGCTTGCCCTCATTCCCTTTTGACTGGTGCTGTGGATGGAATATGATCTGACTGACAAATGCATGTACTGCAAAAAAATCAGGAGGTGATCAGTGCGTGGCTGGGCACTGATGCTTGCATGCAGGCTCTGCTGCTGGCTCTTGGCCGCCGTGCTGGCCTGCAGCACTCGGGGCTGGTGGCCACCAAAAGGCTCTGCAGAGAACAGTCCCCATGCCACACTGCAGCATGCCAAGGTGGCCAGAGACCCCTTCACGCTCTCTCCCTCCTGCAGCCCTGAAGGACACACAGGCAGGGAGATGCTTCGGGGTTACAGGGAAACTCCTGGCTTACCTGTCTAGTCCTACCTTCTGCATTAGCGGGTGACATGAGCAGAGGCTAACACAAAGCTTCATGTTTCCTTCAGCAGGAAGAAGAGAAGGCTCTGACTGCAGGTCCTGGCAGGTAAGGAAGCACGAACCAGCTGTTCAGTCACCTCTGGGGGCAGACATGGGGCTGTTGTAATGTTGAGCTAATACATGTATTTTCTTATTTAAAAGAAAATATTTCAAGGCTTAATCTTTTTTTCTGGATATCACTCTGCACTGTAGAAACTTCCCTGAGCCAAAGCAGGAGGGTGATACATGGTATTGGAACTCCAGTTCTACTCGACTCCTCTGTGTGGCCCAAGCACCGTTATTCCTAGCTCAGTGGGAAGGAGTCTCGTAGCCAGACACTGACACCCCCTGCCTCTATCTGTGTGAATTGCCTGCTGTCTGTACCGCTGCCATAATTTGGGATATTCAGCCACTTCCTCAGTTAAGATGTAATCAGCCAAATGTTCACCATTTCACTTTTTAAAGCTAATGAATTCCCCACGCTTCAACATCACCCGGGGCGCACATTTATCAGCAGCCCACGTGCCACGAGGGGGATAAGCCCATGGTATGTGTTTTCCCTGGCATACCCGATTACCACTCAGCTAGGGGAGTCAGCCCTCCCTGCTCACAGGGGCTTTGCCTTCAGTCACCCCTCCAGGGTGTCCCAAAGCTGCAGTCCCAGAACAGAGAGGCTCGTTTTCCTTGGGGTCTGGTGGCACAGTGCCAATGGGGAAGCTCTCTGAAACATGCACCTCTCCTCCTTCCCTGACCCAGAGAGTGCACACATGTGCTCTGACAAGTTAATCTACAACAAAGCAGGCACTGTTCCTAAGCACGCAGCTTGGTAGATGGTATCACTCAGCACCAGCCCAGAAACTGGGGCTCAGGACCTTTTAGTGGTAACAGACGCACAAAAAAATCACCACTGCCATCACAAAGGGTTTGCTTCCCAAAGTGATAAAAGTTCCCAGTGCTTGTGCCCATTTGTAACACAAACCAACAGGTGACCAGCTGGGCCCAGTGGGTTGGCCATGCTTGCGGGAAGTCACTGGTTTGTTGGCTTCATCCTCCCCAGTCTCAGCACGATCCCAGAGCAGGGGCAGGTATTGTTCATGCATTGATGGCATTGGCAACGTCTGTGAACACAAGACGGCTGGGTCTCTGGAGGGCTCCTTGACTTGTCAGCAGAATCTGCATTGAAGCAGTGAAAGATGAGACCCAGCAAGTCTGCCTTTGCGCCAGTGCTTGTGCTTGGGCACAGACTGCACAGCATTGTAACTAGATTCTGCCCCTTACTAGGAGGAGGCTGACTGACTAACATGGCATTAACAAGGCTGTGACAGAAAAACAGAACAGGCCAGAGAGCAAGTCAGCACATCCATGCCAGTTTAAAATCCCCACATCATTGGATTACTGGGTCTCACTATTTATATATACAAGACAGCATGAAAAGACTTGAAACATCAAAAAGGCCTGGAAACATGCCATGCACTGAACTTTGGCAGCTGTTTTAGACTCTCTCTCTCTCTCTTATTATGTTAAGCTTTAAACTTGTGTACTTTCCAAGCAGAGGTATCTGTGGGGGGATCTGAGGTATCCTGCTGGCCAGTCCCTGTATAGGAAGGATCTGCTTTTATTGTGCTAAATTTAACTCTGGCCTTGTCATTTCCCCCCTTTACTACCTGAAGGGAATTCCTCTGTGTGCACTAATAGGGGGATCTGATGTTTTCCCAGCATGCGCTACTCGGAGGACAAGATCCTTTGCTTTTAGACAACAATATTTCTTGGTTTCCAAACCAAGTGTATGGAATATATTGACTGCCTTTCATATTCCAACACATACATCTTCTTTGTACTCTTCAGCAGGTTGGGAAGTTTGTCTCAAGGTAAATGTATTCTAATTACAGTTGCATTTATTATCTCCTATTTTACTTTCTGCCCACACCAAGCTTGCTACAGATCATCTGAAGCTGTAAAGTGTGTGGAAACCAAGAACTGTTTGGGAAAACTCCAGTTCCCACAACTAGAAAAGCAAGGGAAGACACGGGCAACACAGTGCAGCTGGAGAGGAACTCAAGAAAGGAGAGATGTCTACTCTAAGAGGAAGCTGCATCCCTGGCTAAGAGACATACCTGTTCCAACCATCCCTGCCGGCTCTGTCTTTCAGAAAGGCTTTTTGTGAAAGAGAAAACACTGTGAAGCTGGCTGCAAATCATGGTGAGAAGCCCTTCTTCCCTATCACTCCTACCTCTTGGTACACTGGGGAAGGAGATAGCCTCTTGTCAAAGACCCCTCTGGACCATTAACCAAAAGCAACTGGCCAAGCCATCAAAACTGGCAGGAAGTCAGTGGTCTCTGAGGACCTTATTTCTCAGCATGCTGCATGCCTTTGAACGCTCAGAAGCGGTCAAAGCAAAGCCTTCTTCCCCTCTCCCCAAATTCAAACAGAGAACCCTCCTCCCTTTCCTCTGAGCCATGCCTACTTTGTGCCTGGCGAGGTTGGCCTGGAGGTGCTGACAAGACCAGATGTGCCATGCCACAACAACATGCAGGCTTTCTGTCTGCATTCTTCATGGTTTGCAGCACAGTTACTGTTATGATTACAGGCTTTCCCCCAGCAAGGCCTTGTTCCACACTTGCACCATTAGGCAAACCAGGAATACCTTAAAACTGGCTGGAAGTTACTTGCTTTTCAGGGCCAGGGCAAAGGAGCCTCAGTGCTTTGTGGGCACTGAAGCCCCATCTCCCAGAAAATGGCATTCATCCTACTGCTCCCTTGTGGTGCCCAGTGATAAACTGCAGTAAACTCACCCTTAATTACTAAAGTTGCCCTTTTCTCTCTCCTAGTCAAGTAGAACCAGCACTCTGTCCTAGTTGCCCAACTATTCAGTCCACCCTAAGCACTCTAAAACACTCAAGCACCCTATCTCTAGGGCTGGCAGAAATGGGGGCAAGTCCTCCTGAGGTCTTACATGGTTTCCTAACCCTACAGAAACTCTTTGACTCTACCAAAAGCAGTACAGGTACTAGTGGCTGTAGTAACAGACTTGTTGGTCCCTACTGCCTACCTTGCTCTGTGATGCCTGGGAAGATGCTGCATCTCGCCCATGTTCCAGCAGCTCCTGTTCCAGTTCATCCTGTTCCTCAGTGGGATCAAAGTTGTACATAGGCATGAGCTGGTGCCGTAGCTTCTCCAACCTGCCCGCAGGAGGGAAGAGAAAGGGTTGGTTGAGAAGGACAGGTGCTCAGGCTGCCTTCCCCACCCCACTGCTGAGGGTTTCTGCAGGCTGCTTCTCCTGCTGCACAGGGATGCTGCTTTTGTTGCTCTTGCTGGATAAGGGTCATGTCCTGTCCTGCAGGGATGAGGATAAGAACCTACTACACACAGCTGGCAGGAGTGGAATGTACCCAGACTGCAGTTACAGGGATTAATGGCCATCACTAATCTATGTTGGCAGGCATTACGCACAGAGGAATCAGACAGGGATTTCAGTTCCTGCAGACCTTAAAAGATCAAGCTTTATGTGGTAGGACAAAAGAGACGGTGGAACATACTGGCTAGACATTTTGCGAATTTTCCCCTGTCCCTCTGCCCACAACAGCCAGTCCTGCCATGTCACACTCTGCCAGCAGAAGCCCACTTTTAGCTCCAGTGGCCTAAGAGTAGTACTTTAACTCTGGGGTCCAAGTACATAAAAATAAAAACAATAAACAATAAATAGAAAATAGGAAAGACATAGATTCTCATAAGAGGCTGATGTGTGTGGACAGACTGTTCTTACTCTTGTATTATTGCTCCAAGTGACAGAGCTATAAACTATTACCCCAAGGGGTCTCCCTAAATAACTGGGCAGCTCAGAGATGGAGGATGGATGGGTGGGCATGCTCCTGTGAAAACACTGAGCCCTGCCTTAGGCTGTAGCTGAGTTTTGGGTGGTGGGGGAAACACACAAGCCGTTACTGGCAGTGTCACCACAAGTATCTATTTTGGCAAGTGGTTGGATGACACATTCCCTCCCTGCATCTGTACGGGTTTGCCAACATAGCCATTATCTTCAGCAGTGCTACATTCACAGGCCAAGCTTTAGCTGCTCCTGTGGCAGTACCTAGATTTGGGCTTCAGGGTCTGGATTGGAAATTTTACAGTGGGCAGCAGTACTTCTTGAAGGTCCGTGGCCAGGCCAGACCTGCTACAGGGAGTCAGGCAGGGAGGGGGTACCGCATCTAAGATCTTCACCAGTGTCTCTGCTGTCAGAGAAGGAAGAATCAAGACGTGTGTCTCCCTGCATGCTGCTCTCCTCTCTATTTTCAGCCAGGAGCTGAACAAGGAAATTAAGACACTAAGTATTGGGTTAGAAAGCTGCACTATGCTGCTGCCGGTTGCTGTGACTGCAGCTGAAGACGCCTTCAGCCTTGTAAGGGCAGTGTTACTGGCCCAGGCTGTTGGAAAGCAGTGATCTGGGAACATCTGAAACATGAGATACACACCTCTCATGACAGAGTTCCCAGCTTCTTTATACGCTCATAACCCCTTCCTCTGTTTTAGTGCATCTTATAAATGAAGCATGAGGAGTTTGCAGGATCCCTAACCTCCTCCTGCTCAACCATGTTTTCCTTTCCAAAGCTGCAGAGGAGTCTTTGAAGCTCAGGTGGACCAATACCAGGAATGCAGTGTCCCTACCCCTGCCGCACTGACACACAGCTGATTCCCCATAATGGGCTTGTTCTCAGACAGCCATCCCTTACACTCCCACCATCTCCCTGTCTCCTTCCTAGCTCTCTGCATTTTGAAGCACTGAGTTCCCTTCAGCCAACAAGATGTGTTACTTACCTCTTCCTCTTCCTGATATACAGAACCTGAAGGAGAAAGAAAACCATCATTACAACAGTCCTAGTAGGATGGGGAACAGCTGAGAAGAGAAATTTTGGGCACAGGGCACAAAGGAGGTGTAGCAAGTCTGGTGTCACTGTGCACCAAGGCAGTGAGAAGGGAGAAGTGACAACTGAAAATGAAATTTCATGTGCATCAGTAACACATCACCTCCAACACTAAGTGCTCAAGTGGCCTGTTATCAGGTGTGTTAGTAGTAGTAAGAGTATTAGGTGTAGCTCAGCACACTTCTGCAGGATGTATGTTGCAATTTAAGAGTGGATGAAGAACCTTCCCTTGGTGGTTTTCATCTGTAGATTTCCTACAGCGTAGAAATGCTGTTACCCCCTCCCCAGTATAAAGGGAAGAAGCAAAGAGGGCATGCTCAGTGACTTGCCTCGTGTCAGCCAGTAAGAGTGGCTGCGCTGAGAAGAAAGTGAGGCTTTTGGCCTCCAGAGCCTTGTTCTGAGAACTACGAACGTCGGATGTTGCTCTTGGGAACTTATGACCGTTTCCAGGATAATGTTTCCGGGTTCTCTTAGGGGCTTTTGGAAAAACTCCTCCTTGGGCCTGCAATGAAATTTTGCAGTAGTCCCTTTCTGTAGGCTCCTCTGCTGGTTGTATTAGTGAAGCTCTTCCTCATACAAGGATGGGAGCTTGCTGCTACCTTCTGTTCTCTGTTGGCAGGTAAATGATCTGGTTATATATCAAAAGAACTGCAGCACTTGCATTGCTTGTGTTGGGCCCAGAAATATAGTTTCTGAAAGCTTCTGCCCACAGCATCAATGGCAAGGTTAGGTACGCAGCAAATCCTCAAGGCCTTTGCTGATACCCTGCAAGCAGAACCTTGGAAATGCAGTCCAGAATCAGTCTAGCTAAAATGGATTCTGGCTGCTTGAATTCAAAAAGGCATGTCCATGGGAGAGATTAACGTGGTTTCAACAGTCTGTTTTAGAAGTTAATTTAGATGAACTTTCTGGCCGGGTGCCCCGTGTTGACAAGGTTTAAATCAATGCAGCTGTTCCAGTTAACAAGTCAGAACAGAATCTGCTTTGTGTTCTTTTAACTGAACTTCCTACTGCTATTAAAAATAAATACTGATACTACATATGGCTTCCTCTAGGCCTGCTGAGCTGCCCGTTCAGACTAGACCTCAGGGAACTGCAGAAATATTGGAGCACTGGATAAATGCCTTAAAAACAAAGGGATCTCAGTTCCCTTTGTTCTGGGTGAGCCTTTAGTAGAATGCAAATTAATTATTCAACCCAGATCAGTCCTCGAGCCCCTTTTCCACCCTCCCCTCAAGAGACAGAAATATTTAGCAGGGCTCTCTTACCATAGCTACAGCCAACCCAATCACAGTAATGATCCCAAAGGACAGCAGCATTGTACTCATGCTGGGTCCAGTGCTGGCCACATCTGGGATTTTAGTGCTGTTGAAACTGGTAGTTTCAGGGCTTATGGTTGCTGTTTCTGGTACAGTTGCATCCAGAGTTGTCCCTGGGTCTGGCCTGGCTGTGGCAGTGGTGCTGTGATAGAAGTCATGCACAGAGGGTGAGCTGTAACTCATCCTGCCAGCTCTTGGTAGCTCCTTTTACCAAGCTGTTGTCCTCACCCATCAGCTACAGAAGTGTAGAGCTGCCCTTCGTATCAAGGACCCTCATGTGAGACCTATCATGTAGCATCGCTGCTGTTGGTTTTTCTTCACACTGGTCTCTGCCTAGGAAAGAATGAGAACAAATGAACAGCACAGAGCTCTTAGAGACAGGCACAACCTTTTCCAAAGTTTCCCAATTCACTAGTACAATTTTTGTGAGCAGCTCACAGATGCCCACTCAAAATAAAAGAAAGATTTTTCAAGGGTATTGAGAGCCCCTGAAGACATGCCTGATTCACTTTTAAGTCAGTGATGTGCTCTCCCCTCGCTGCTTCAGCTCTGCCTCTTTGCAGGCACTTGGCAGATCTGTGTGGGGAACAACCTCAGAACCCCTGTCTTTGGTCTGCCTCAGGCTGAGGCAGATGGCCTCAATCCACCCTGGGAGATACAGTATTTTCCTGCTCCTGCCTCTTGCTTTTAATTTTTGGAAAGTTACATGGATGCCCTTAAGTTTATCGGTGGGAACACATCCAGTAAAATGGCACTCAGCTATGAGGCATCTGTATCTCAGGATGTTTTTTATTGACTCCAAAGTAGGACTTCCCTGTTGAGGTAGTCACTGGTGACTGGTAAGTCTGTGCAGTACCCACCATCTTACTGCACTATCCATCACCCCACTGTCCCTCAGGCCACGCGCTCTGGAAAGGCAGCTTCCCTAAAGCAGTGGGTTGCACCGGTCCCCCATCTGCTACTAAAGACAGGAAGTATTTCTCAAGTCCCCCATGAAAGCACCCAGTCAATCTTAGTCATGCACTGCTAATTATCAATATTAATTTCAAAATTAGTCCAATTTTGGAGTTGTGAAATTTGATAGATCTATTCATGCTGAAAACATGAAAGGCTTTAATTGCTTCATGCTTCAGTTGTGCAAATGATCAGGAGTTGCAAAACACCATGGGATGATCCTATGGGAAGTATTTGCACAACTTGGTTTATAAAACCACTGTGTATAACATTAGTTCAGCAATTGCTTCCATGAAAATACAGCTACCTCTGGACCAGAGCAGTGCCAAGAACTACTGTAGCAGTCCTCTGGTAATTTCTCTGCAGTTTAGCAGACATTACATCTCTGGACTGGAATGCAGCCGGGACATAGGGGTTAATGAGGTCTGAATAGAAAAGATGTGCCTGCAAAGAGAAATGAGCCATTGTTCTGCTCCACTCTGTTCTATTCTAGGCAAGGTTATTGCGCAGTTCCCATTACTGTGACACCTTACTGCTGTCCATAACTGCATTAAGCAGTGTGATTAACATCTGTCACTAACAACTGAAGTGGAGAAGCTGCACCAGGGAAACAGCACCAGGCTGCCCTGTGGTCAATCAGCAACCTGAGTAGCCACCTCGGCTTGCACAGTACTAGCCCTGCATCTCCCTGAGCAGGTAAATCACTGACCACACCCACAGGATCTGTCTCACAACTCCCTGTGACAACTCTGTGAACCAGGAGTTGCTGGGCGATTCTGAAGTGCCTGGGAGCCTGTAGGAGCTGTCAAACTCCCATGAGTTTGTAGAGAAATGTGAAGAAAACAGTTCTGGCCTGGTCCCACCTAACATCATGATGAGGGCTGAGTTCATTGCAGCAGAAAGGGAGTGTGTCCTTCACTGACCACCAAACCATGCACGCCTAGTTTAAACCATGTGACACATGGATTTCCCCAGTCATTACTGACAGTGAAGCCCAGGTGTAATGGACACTCGGGCACAAACCTGAGATGCAAGTGTCACAAACAGCAACAGCAGCTACAGCCCAGCAGGGAAAGGGAAGGAACTGTTGAGCAGGTTACTGGGCAGACTGAGCAGCTGCTGAATTATTGATTTGTGCTATTCAGGGAAACTCTCTCTGACTGTAATTCACATTTAAAAAAAAAAAAAAAGCCACCACCAAGGAAACAAAAAGTGGAGAAAGAGCCTAAGTGAAAGGAGTGAAGCGGGCCTAAGGGCTTTGCAAAGCATGGCTCTAGAACTTGAACAGCTCCTGAATTTTGGAAACAAAACTCAATGCAGTGTCAGTTTTGGAAAAAACACTGCAACTTGGATGTTGAAGCTGATACCAAGCCTTTGGGTGAGACCCCTTTTGTATGGATCACACACAGTGCTGCTATGCATTGCTCCTCTGAATAAAGTTAGGCAAGGTTAAAATCAGCCAGCTGAACATCTAGTCAAGTGGGAATGGAGGCTCTTGTTTATCTTCTCAGGGTCCTGTCCATGCTGAAGGATTTCCAAGCCCAGAGACCTAGCTCTAAAAGCAATCTGTATGAAAAGTTTGACATGGCTTAGACAACTAGTTCCAGGTCCAGAAGAGGGTCTTTCTGTTCCCAAGCCCCTTCTGGTCCAGGTTTCAGAGGGCCAGATGGAGAGGCTGGCTGCAAGTACAGCCCAGGCCCATGGCTGACAATGGTAGAACTGGGGGTGGATGATCTTTCCCACCACCTTCCTTTCCCAGCTGTCATCATGGTGCTGGAAGTTTGACCTGCAGGCTGGGCACACTCCAAGTCTCTGATGGCTGCTCTAGGGCCAGGGCCAGCTACTTCCTATCGCTGGCAGGTTTCAGCATAGTCCATGCACAAATAGAAGAGGAACCAGATCCTCAGCTGCTGCGAGCTGGCATTCTTCCATTGCCTGCACCAACGGAGCTGCTCACACAGCTAGGACCGCTCTGTGCTGGGCTCTGCTGGGTATGGGAACACACTTGTTTCCTAAGCCAGCATTTCCAAACTGGTCTCTGATAGGCACTGCAGTGGCCCAACACCTCTGAGATGCAGAACACCATGTCAGGCACTAGCTTGAGGCTGCTGGCTTTTCTGAGTCTCGCTTTTAATCTCTGCACTTCAGTTTCCTCTCAGCTACAACAGGAATAGAGGTTTGTGTCACAGGGATGAAGATGGGTCACTAGGTCTCTGGATGAAGAAGGCAAATAATAACTAGTATTTTTTCTGTATTACTCCACCGAGATGAAGTGTCTCTAGTAAATTCAGCAATGCAAGCAGCACTGGGTCGCTGTTGGCTATGGGATGTGGCTGCCCAGTGTGTGAACTTGTGGCTTCCTCTCCCACTGGGGCAGGGCTGGTCAGGCCCCGGGGTGGGGGGAAGCCCCGGCCGCCTGTGCCCGCAGCCCCTGTCTCTTATACACAT